GCGGGGTTTGAACCCACCACCCTTGGTATATGAGGACAGCGCCCTACCAGCTGAGCCACAGGTGCTGCCCCTAAAACTTTTTTTTTGAGATAAAAGTCTTACTCTGTTGCCTTGGGGTAGAGTGCTGTATCGTGTTGTCATAGCTCACAGCAACCTCAAACTCTTGAGCTTAAGCGATCCTCCTGCTTCAGCCTCTCAAGTAGTTGGGACTACAGGCACCCACACAATGCCCAAGTAATTTTTTCCATTTTAGTAGAGACAGGGGTCCCTCTCTTGTTCAGGCTGGTCTCAAACTCCTGAGCGAAAGCAATCCATCCGCCCCTGCCTCCACTCTGGTGTTAGGATTACAGGCGTGAGCCACTGCACCTGGCCACAAAATTCTTACAAATTTTCTAAGCAGTTACCTTGCCTCTTAGAATGCAACATACAAAGAGACACTAACCATGAATCCGGTTTCTCTTTGCGTGTTAGACACTGGGAATTAAGTAGTCCATATTGGTTATGTTTGAGTTACATCCTTTTCTCCATCATCCTTTGTACCTTCACGTTTTTGTCCTGATTTCTCCAGGGAGGATACACACTCCACAGACCTAACACCGGTTCTCAAATTCTAATCAAACTTAGACACTAGCTTTATTTAAATACCTACCGTCAGTACTTATTTACTGTACTACTTATATAATTTATAATTTGATTTAGGGGCAAAATTTTCCCCTTAGAAACAAGCTCAGGGTTAGGACTTCTTCTTTTAACCTATGTATTTCCATTCCCTAGGCTAGTGCTCAGCATCCTTTAGGCCTTACTGCAATTGCAAGCACAGACACCAGCCATTCTTGCATCAACTCTGTGGATAAAATTGCGGTATTTATTTAATAAGCAGTTTGCCCAGTAAACTCAGTAAAAGAAACTAAAAGCCTTTTTGCACACACTCTGGGCCTGTTCATTTTGAAACTCCTTGTAAATGCTTCTAAACATGTCATTTTCCTACATTAAGCTCAGACTACTTAGGAGAAAGAAGAACCACAGCCTTCGCCCAATCACCCAAGAATAAACGTACATTCTGCATCAGGTTCCCCCCCTACTTTCTTGTGCGATGAAAACCACAATGAACTAAACTTCCACTCTAAGGATGAAGGGTCTCATTGCTGCCTGGGCTTCTTAAAACCTTAAGCATTCAACTTTTCCTATTCAAAATTTTCACAGGAGCTTGACAAAGCCCAGGCATTTGGACCCCAGAAGACTGTGGTAGAGCCTTCACCAACTGCTGGCACCTGTATCCCTTAGCATGCCAAGAGCGCCATGTGACCACGTTCACCCATTTTCTCTAATTAAATTACACGGCAAGCACATTCTCTTTGTGTGGGGTCCTGAAACCACCTGAGATGAAACATGGGTTACTAAACACTGAACCCCCCAGTGTATCTTCCATAATGTGACTTCCAGCAATCTTTGCATTGTTTCTTAAAATCATTTAGTGTTGAAAATTGAGATTTTGAATTTTCATAGTAAATGCAGGGTTTTCATTCACTAAATGACTACAATGAAATGTTTAGTGAGCAATGCACAGATGACATGCTCATCTTCTCGGAGAAATTATAGGAAGTAGCTTGAATTTGGACCAAAATGTCAGAAAAAAGATACATGAGTGGCAAAGAAATATTCAGTTAACTCTAAAAGATGGTTTATTGGAAACCCTCATAGCATTTTTCATAAGGACCTGACAGGTTTTATTTTAATAGGACAGAGTGAAGAGGAAATGGCTTAAAAGATATCATCAATCTTTTATTTAACTAAGCACTGCCCTTCATTTTGAAGGAAATGATACAATTTCAAATCGGAACTTCCTTCTCAAGAAGTGAGTAAGAACATAACGTTGATTTAACATACAACTTTCCACAAAAATAAAGTGTGCACAATTCATTGGGAAATAAAATGCATATATAATTTATCCTGTTAGTCAATATAATTCTCCATGGATCACAAGTAGTATAGCCAAGAGCAAAACAATATAACAAAAATTTGAATTACTAAGTTTATAGTTACCCTGATGTAAAAAAAAAAAAAATCCAAAAATAAGACTGAACTTTCCAAACAAATCCATTCGATGACCATGATTACACTAGATTTTACTCTAATTTATAAAAAATTGTCAGACAAGCACATAACACCAAGAGTCTTCAACACAGTGGATTCCATTTTGGTTAGAAAAAAAAAAAATAGAAAACACGTAGTCCTAAAATTTTCTTAGCTCTCCATAGCATATGTCATATAAAATTAAAGTTCTGCTTCCAAAAATATGTTTCCACGTGCTTGTGGTGGTGTCCAGTGGTGCTATTAGGGCCAGAAGCACCGAAGACAGGAGACGTTTAACCACTGAAGCGTAATTTTTCATAAAAACTAAATATTTCCTTAAAGATCTGGAGTCATCTTCTGCTAGGTATTTTAGTGCTACAAAGCCATTTTAAATTAAGTGTGGAAATAACAGCTACAAAAGGTGTTTGAGTTCTTTTGATACAAAAAGGTGTACAGCTGAAGTTGTGAGCTCCTTTGACATACAGAAGCAGTTTCAATAAAATATTTGCTCAGGTAAGAAAATAGAATTTGTCTGGTTTCATTTAGCGTATGTTCCAGTCGATGTCCTGCTTATCCCTGCCAGAGCTTCTGAAGAACATTAGAATCGATATTTCTTTCCTTCAAAGAGCATCCGTAATTCACAGTACAAAATAGTTCTAAAGTCTTATTCCTAAGGAGAAACAAAAATTATTAAATATATTTATTTTGTCTAAAGTGTCAAATGTAGCCATTGCCAGGGCATTAAAAACTCGCTTATCCACAACACTGCCACCTCATGGAAAGAACCTAGAGTTGACTCCACTCCCTGTTGTGCAGCCTGGTCGGCTGCTGCTTCACTTTAAGCATTATACCTTAAGGAAATTCCCAATAAAAAATCACTGCTCTAAGCATCACATGCCATTATCTCTGGTACCCTGTAGAAACACCTGCATTACAGGGGAAAGCAGCAGCTGGAATAGATTTTCTATTCTAGTTTATTTTCAAACCCTGCTATCAAAAACCTCTTCTCTCGAGGTAGAATGTTACTACTGGCGTGGATTTTATAGGAGTGCTTCCTCTGAGTTGAAACTTCTCAGAAAGAGCCATTCACTGATAGCAACATACAGGCGCCGCTATAGCTCATATCCCTTTCTATTGTGGGACAGAGGAAGGGGAAGGGCTGGAGAGTAAAAAAATAATTTAGTGAGCCCAGAGTTGCTGGACAGTACCATTCTGTGCCTCTGCTCCATCTGCACAGTGATAGTATTTTCAACTTACACAGGAAAGAAAACCCAAATCAGTGAGGTATCGCAGCTCTCCTAAACATCTTTCCTCAGGTTTATCTCGATCTGCTTTTCCAGGAGCAAGAGAATATAAACACACAGCTATGAGAATATTCAACATTGAAACTAGACCTGCATTTCTAAAAAGAAACTAATCTCCTGCCGAAGTCCTAGACCAGCACTGGAGTGTGGTTCATCTTTAGCTATCGAAATCATAGCAACTGTTTGGTGATAACTGTGAAAACAGGGAACATGCCTAATGCCTTGTAATTAAGACTTCATGTCTGAGATGCTCAGAAGGCCCAGGCTTTTAAAAATTATGGCCTCAATTCCAATGCCTAAAAACACTAAATACAAAAGAAAATCCTTCAAGACTTTTTGCCTTCATTTAGAGATTTCCAGGCAAGAGGCCCAACTACAGCCAGGGTTGTGCACCACTCAAGTATGATTCTATTCCAACTGTTAAGAATTAGGTCACCAAATGACTTGTACAATGTAGTTTATGACTCCCAGGAGAGGGGAAAAGCCCCTCAAACTCTATACAAGGTTTGAAGACAGTACTGGCAATGGGCAGCAGAGAAACTATTCTGCAGTGGAGGGCACACATCCTTACAGAGTTTGCAGGAGAAGAGACAGGTTGAAAAAATTGGTCTTGTAGAAAGCAGATGCAGAACCAAATAATACTTTCTCAGTCTGCCACTAACAGATCTCACCAATCTGTACCTTCAGACTGTCTCCAAATTAAGATCTGGTGATGGCTACACCAGGTAGCATCTGTGACTGAGGTCACCCTATTAGGAAAGGGCTCTGAAAGGGTACTCCAAGCAATAAGGAGACTGCTACAGTACAAGACTTTGCACCTTAAACTTCATGAAGTGTGGCTAGGACTACTGAATGTCTCCAGCCTAAGATTTTGCCACCAGCAGAACAAAAAGGAGAGTGAAGGAGTTGAGCCAGTATAAGAAGGGGAAAAAAAGTAAGTCATAGCTCTACTATCAAAGCCTTGTTTTGAAAAAAAAAAAAAAGGTTCCCTTCACTATTCAGGAGGGGAGGAAAAAAGAGATTAATTCTTGCTAGGGAGAATGTCTATTTCCATAGCAGATACTTTATGAGGTGGTACAAACCAATCCTACATGTGACCTGAGGATGAACACAGCTGAGCAGGTTTAATTAGATCAGAGACACAAAGGGCCATTCCCTCCATTGATAACAATGCAGCTATTTAAGTGCCTACAACAGCAGGGGAGAAACAAAGACCTCAGAACAAACCTTAATTGAATCCTTCCCGGGTCTGGCCCTTGACAATGATTTACTTGTAACCTGGGAAGGGGCTAGTGGAGGCGATTTAGCCAAGAGTCAGCTCCTGAAGACTAATTATTTGGGGTTGGGAGGAAGGAGGTAGTAAAGTCTGTGTTTGCAGCCAGAGTTTGCTCAACTATGTTACACTTAATAGGGGGCTGCCTGGTTTTGGTCTGCTGCTCCCAGACCTTGTCATGGTTTAGACAGCCCTGCGCCCCAGGAATCCCATAAAATATATCATCCCAACCTCCCAGATCCCAAACAAAACCTAGCTCCACAAAGGAAGCAGATAAGCAGCTCTCTGTGCTGGCCGGCAGAGGAGATTCCACAAACCGGTAGGGCTTTTTACCAGGAATCCTCCAAGCCCAATGCAAGCAGTTAAGCTGGAGGAGGCAATCGTACACACTGGTTCTCGGAACTTCTCTCCAACCCCATGTGCATAAGGGCAGATTTTAGAACCAGATCCAGCAACAATTAAGTGCCAGGCAAGTCCACAATTTGCCTCGCCACAGAAAGGAAGACAGATCGAAGGGATGAGAAGGAAATGAAACCCCTCCCAGTGCTCCTACCTGCTCCCTCTGTCCCCTTCCTCCACCCCCGTCCACAGCCGGCTGCGCATTTCACCAACTCTCCGTTTTCCAAAGGGCCCAGGAATCCCAGATGGGGCCCAGAAGGTGGTGGAGGAGGGAAGGAAGGAGAGAGGGAGGAAGGGGGCAGCGACTGCTTCTGCAAACAGCTCCCTTTCGTAGCTCTGCGCTCTGCTTGCCGGGCCATCAGTGTGCCACCGCCTCTCGGTCCTCCTCCTCGGAACTGGGCGCAGGGGGGCGCCCGAGAGGCGGCGTAGTCCGAGCCAGGTTACTGTCGCCCTCGTCCGGCTCCGCCGGGTGCAGGTGCGTGGCGAGCTCCTGCAGCACAGCGGCTCGCCCAATCTGGTCGTTGCGCCGCTTCTCCATGATCAAGTCCTCCAGGCTCTGGAACTCCAGTGTGTGGCTGCGCTGCGCCGAGAGCTGAATTTGTAGCCGGTAGGGCTGCTTGCCGATGCGCAGCTCTCCGCCGATCTTGAACTCGCGCTTGCCGTAGCGGCACCAGGCAGCGAAGCTCTCCGAGTTGCGCCAGCTCAGCTCGCGCTCCTTGGCGCCCACGTGCGCCAGTGCGTTGCGCACCACTGCGCTGGGACTCAGCGGTTTGTAGCGGTACAGATCATTGACCACGCGGCCGCGACGGCCCTGGCTTGCGTCTGTTAGGAAGCTATTGCTCACCTCCAGCCGGTGCAAATGCACCACCTGGAAGTTGCCCACGTACACCGCCCAGTGCGGGTACTGCGCCTGCGACACGAACTCCACCAGGTCGCCTGGCTTGCACTTGTTGAGCAGGTTTTCAGGCGTGTAGGTGCTCAGCGCTGCCGAGCCCGGGGCAAAGCTTTTCTGATAGATACACTCGTCGCGGTAGAACACGGAGCATTCCACTTCATGAAGCCGCGGGTCGTAGGGCTGAGGCTGGGGCAGAGGCGGCCCGTCTCCTCCGTCGGGTAAGCTGCCGCTATCCGGCCCCTGGGGCGGCGGCTGCGGCTCCACGTCCTCATCGTCATTGGAGAAGATGTAGGAGACCCCAATGCGGGGCCCGTCGTCCCGGTCCACACCAGTCGGATCGGCCGTTGGAACTTCCTTGTAACTTAGGTGGGTCAGTTTCTCCACCTGATTGCCCATCACGTTGCGGACACACGTTCACACCGCCGCGAAAGGAGAAAGCGAAACCACCACTAGGGTCATTGGCGCAGGTCCCGTACAGGGGCTGAGGACACCTGTTGGGAGAGGAAGGCAAGAGAGTGGTGTAGGAACCCTCTGTGAAAAGGTCGTTTTGTTTCAAAAAAAAAAAAAAAAACGGGTGGAGGCTGAGCACCTGAAGCCATTTTGGGGACAGTCTTGGGTACAGCGAGCCTTCTTTCATTTCTCCACCTCTAAGGTCAGGGTGGCAGGAGACCGGGAAACTCCGGCTCTCCCCCTCCCGCAGCCCTTTGCCAGGCCCTGGCAAAAGCCCATTGCATCAGCAGCTCCTACCGCTTCCGCCCGCGCCCTACCTGCCAAGTCCGGGTAGGGAGGTGGGGAACCAAAGAGAAACTTTACTCCCATCCCCCCCTTCTTAACTTCCCCACCCGCCCTTGGACCCTAACCAGCGCTTGAGGCACCTTCTTTCCTCTCGCAACACCTCTATCCCCAGGGGAAAGAAAGAAAATCCCGTAGCGACTCGGACAGGTGAGACACCCAACCTGGCTCACCTGCCGCGCTCTCTCCTCCCCACTCGCCCGCCCCTCCCCCGCACTCCCGCCCTCTGGCTCGGGTTACCTGAGCAAACTCACCCGCAGAGAGGTGGAGGCCGTAAGGATTGAGGAGGCGCCCCGGCCGCACCCCAAGACTTCTAGGGAGAGTTTGCAGGTGTGGGCGCTGCAGTCCTCCTTCTCCCGGCGCGGGCTGCAGCGAGGCTGGGCAGAGGGGAGCGACGCATGTCTTCCCCCGCGGCTGCGTCGCACCCCAAACTTGAAGGGGGAGCAATTCCTGTTCACACCGCGACCCCTCCCTCCTGCCGGGGCTACTGCCCCCAGTCAGCCAGCTCTCGAGGAGGTGGAGCGCGAGGCGGTGAGGACTAAACTGCCGGTCGGCCGCAGCTCCCGCTCGGGCCGGGCGAGCAACAAGCGCTGGAGCGGGAGGGAGGGGATTGTAGATCCGGCTCCCGGCTCCCGGGCGGGAGAGCAGCCCGTGGCACTTAAAGAGACAGGCGCTTGCTCCCTCAGCTTACGTCTTTTTCCACACTGCTTGGAGCCTCCGGGATCCCCGCCCCCGCCCCGCCCACTCGGGCCCGCGGGGCTCCGCCCGGCCACGCCCCCGCGCCGGAGCGGGTTTAAATCTCTCTGGTAAATAATCCACCCGCCGGTTGGGGCTGGGGCTGGCGCTGTGCAGCGGCTGCTTGGAACCCCGGGCAGTGTGAGTGTTTTTCCGAACTGTGGTGGCTCTGAGAAGTTGGAAGGCAAACAGTACCTGCCAGCGTAGTGAGCAGAGAGGGAAGAAGCGTCTGGTGTTTGTTTCGTCTCCCTTTGGCCTCTTCTTTCTGGAGTATCTCGAGAGTCTTCAGGGGTTCTCGCCTCTCTCTTGGAATATTTTCTGTCCGAAAGGTCTGAAGAAAGGGTATTTTAGCAGGGCATCTCGAAAATTGGATCATCTTAGAAGTGTTTTCCTCTGAGTAGTGGGAAGCCTTGGGGCAGAGAAAAAGAATCACAGGAAGGAGACAGTATAAAGCAGAACGAAAGAGTTATTGGCTGGGTCCCTAGACCAGTGTTCTGTTTATTCCTAGTCCCTGGATGTTTATTACAAAGTGCATTTCATAACCTCTGTTGTCGTTTCCAGAGAGTTGCCATTTCCTAGGGTGGTGAGAGAATGCATTCATTTCTGGCTGCTTTTCTTCGGGGTGAGGGATGTAGGAATTGTTTAATTGTCCTTAAATTAGAAACAAATTAGCAGAGGCCCCTGGTGGCTGTATTTCTTTCCTGTTGACTTAGGGAAGTGACTGGAGACCAGTATTGCCGATTAACCTCCACCACAAAAGGAGGTTATCCCCGCTTGTACTGGTTTCATTTCTTGTACCTACGATGTAAGCTACCAAAGTGGATGATTTTTTCTTTTTCTTTCTTTTTTTCAAATATTGGGTCGTGGTGGGGGTGGAGGTTTGGCTGGCAGCTCCCTTTGCAAAGCCAAACTGATGTCCTCACTGCAAGCACGCAGACTGATTTGTGGGGCATTTAAGGATGCAGCTCCACCCCATATCCCGTTTTCTATCACTTTGTTTTGACTAAATTTTTCCACGTAACACTATTATTTATTCAATGTGTATACCAACCAGTGGAAATAAGAATATACTAACACTACTGTGATCGTTTCTAGTTTGAGAAAAAAAAAATCAAGCTTCTTATGTGCTTTTGAGTCTGAACAATCAATATTGTCAGGGCTGTGATGGAAGCTAGTCCTTCAGCAAATCTAAGATTGAAGTACATTACACTGAAATAAAACTTCTCTATGCCCTGCAGATTCTATTAAAATAATTTCAGACTGCCCTCAGGCACCAGATCAGTGCCCATCCCTTTGGAAATTTTGATAACACTTGGTCTGGAGGGCTGCTACTACATGGATGCTATGTGTACCACTGTGTCACCATATGAACTCCATTTTATGGAGGAGAGTTAGTCTTAGACAATGGCCAGTCATCTCACGTCTGTTGCACTGGAAACCTCTGCTTTTGTCGGATGTGGTAGGTTACCTTGTCTTGACGTGCTGCTGGGAAAGATGGCTGGGGATGGGAAAATAGAGAAGACACAGGCTTTTTTATTTTTTTTTGGGCAGTCCTTGCTTCCTAAAGTTTTATTTTAATTTTAGATGAAAATGAAAAAGAAGTTTACACTGAAAATTAACATCAATATCTGGAGAATTACACATTAGGAAACTCCAACAAGAAATATGTATCTTTCATTTGCTTTTCTGGCACTCTTTAACAGCTTTCTAAGGAGGGGACTCAGGAGCTATAATACTTGAGGAGACTCTCATCTGTGGGTTTTAGGATTTTCTTATCTGCCATGTTCACCACCCATTCTGGAGCAAGAGCAAAGAAAACCTGCCTTGGATCCTTTTGAGCACTGAGCATCTGGAGGAGTTCATCTTTAGTGATGTGGGGTAAAATATAACCATACATCTTGGCAAGTTCAAGCCTTGCTTCAGGAAATTTGGCAGGGTCTGCCAGGTAACCACGATTCTTTGCATCAATGTAATAGGGTACCAGTGCTTCAGGTGGAAGCATTCGTTTTGGAATAGGCTGAAAAGAAGAAAGAATGGAATAGGTTTGCATAGGATTTCCAGACTCCTGGGATCATAGAAGGCTGTAGTAACAGCATCACTATTGTTTTCAATTGCAGCAATAGCTAGTTCTGAAGCCAACTGTACTTCAATATTAACTTTTGCCTTAAAGGTGTCAGCACCTTCCTCCACCAGCTGGACACCATAATCCCTTTTAAGAGACTGAATGGTCACACCTCTCCCATTGACAAGCTGGGTTAAGTCAATAGGTTGAGTAGAAACAACTCGATCCAAGTCAGTAAGATACTGCAGTCTGCGGAGACTCAGAGGCTGGTACTGGCATCTGAAGTTACTTCCTTTATTAAACCCATACTTTGGTATTCAGATGTAAAATGGAGTCTGGCCTCCCTCAAAGCCCAGACAGGGCTGGGTTCTTCTCTGCCTTTCTCCTTTATGGCCTCTGTCAAGCTTTCTACCTCTTCTCCGACCTCTTGGTGGTCTCTTTGGTTTCCTGGAGCCGGGATTCAGCTTCAAGTTGGCCAGGCTTACACGAGGCAGGGCCCAGAGCAGATCCAGGGCCCTGGCCCCACCGCCCTGCACCAGACCTGCCATAACTGGCAGAGCCAACAATTTTCAAGGGCTCCTGGAACCGACCAGGAGACCTTTTACTGTCAGCACTCTGGGTCAAAGATCTAATGGATGAGGAAATGATGCCTAATTGTCTAGCTATCTCTCCTGTTATCTCAGTGAGCTCTATTTAGGTGCACAATAGTGGCTTACAGCATCATTGTTTTTTTTTTTTGAGACAGAGTTTCGTTCTTTTGTCCAGACTAGAGTGCCATGGCATCAGCCTAGCTCAATGCAACCTCAAACTTTTGGTTTCAAGCAATCCTCCTGACTCAGCCTCTCAAGTAGCTAGTGATACTGGACAGGTGGTGCCCCAGCCAGCTCAGGCTAGCAGGACTGGAGGACCTGCCACCTCCCTCTTGGCGGTGTTGGTGGCGGCAGCTGGCAGAGGAACTAGCAGGCTGGAGCAGGCTAGAGCGTAGGCAAGCCAGAGGAGCTTCCCTCCCCCACCTGAGGTTCCAGTAGCAAAGGAACCGGACACAAGCAGGGGAAGACACTGGTGATTCCTCCAGTGCATCCCTGATTGGTCCATTTTCAAAACCTGCTCCTGATTGGTCTTGTTTTTAGGCCCTGAAAGCTCATTGGACAACTGCCCCTATATAAGCCCCTAAGCAGAGAGCTCAAATGCAGACCTCGACCTCAAGGGAGAGAGAGGGGAAGAGCAAGAGCTATAACAGTTGTATCCTGCTCTGCAAGGAGGTTTGGCTCTTTGTATGAGCTGTAACACTTATATCCTGCTTTGCAAGGAGGTTTGGCTCTTTGTAAGAGCTGTGACACTTGTATGAAACCTATTTTACTACTGATCCTGCTCTGTAAGGTTTGGCTCTTTGTGAAAGCTGTAACACTTGTTGAATAAAACCTAACCTACTGTTGATCTTGTGGTCTGTCAATTCGTTTATCAAATCGTTGAGACCAAGAGCCTGGAAATCCAGTATCAAAAATCCGGTATCACTAGAACTGCAGGTGCCCACCGTGATGTCAGGCTAATTTTTCTGTTTCTAGTAGAGACAAGATATCACTGTTGCTCAGGCTGGTCTCGACTCTGGAGTTCAAGTGATCCTCCCACCTCAGCCTCCCAGAGTGCTAGGATTACAAGCATGAGTGTGGCACCTGGCTTCAACAACATTTCTTAAACTGACCAACTATAAATTTTCAGAAAGAACAGGTCCAGAGTCATCTTTATAGCTGACAAGTAAGTAGGCAAAGACTCGATGCCTTTTGAGAGTTGGTCTCTGGTATAGATTTTTCCATTAATGCCTGCCTAGGGTTCAGTCTCCATCTGGTCATCTAGACCAGCAATCCCCAACCTTTTTGGCACAAGCAACAGATTTCATGGAAGACAGTTTTTCCATGAATTCAGAGTGAGAGTGGGTAGGGGGCTGAGACAAGAGGCAGAGCTCCTGGCGACTGAATGGTAGTTCTTATCAAACCACCTATCCACTGATACTGGTCCATGAATCAGAGCTTGGGGCCCACAGACCTAGAGCACTTGGTCAGAGGTTGCAAAATGGTTCCCAAACATGCTTTACTCAAAGAGTTGTTTAAAAAAATTAAAGCTAGTTGTCAACAATTTGAAAACTTGGGAAGTCTCAGACAAAAATTCAGAAGTCCAGCATGACTTGAAAAATACAAAGATAGGAAACTACCAGGCCCTGTTCCAGGATGGCAACAGAAAGCTAGAATGGAATATAGTTGCCTTGTAGGTGAAATGCATCGTCCACTTTGCTCCAGTTCTGGTCTTGCCCACATATCTGGGTCCCTTGCCTGGCTCTGGAGCTCTCTGTGGGCCACCTTTGCCATTCAGTATCTACTACACATGTTATTACTGTATTATATGTACTTCAGCATTGGATCTTATACTATCTGGAGTATAAGAATACTATATTATTCTCTGATTCACATGTTTAAAAAAACTATTTCTTTGGTAGAGATAACTTAATTCAAAATATATTTCATGAAGACATACTCGGGCTGCTGGTTTTATTCACCGAGACTTCATTCTACTAATACAGCAGACACTGTACTAGGGTTCTTAGATGTCCCCCTGGGAGCTCAACATAGCGAGGGAGACAGAGAGATAAATAGATTCTTTAGGACACTGTGACATGTCCTACAAGAAGAAGAAACAGAACGCTAAGGGAGCGAGGAAAAGCTTCAAGGCGTGGGGATACAAAGATGAATGATAAAGAGGCCACCATCAGGGACATTGGACTCATGGGGTAAACACAACTCTAAAATTAATGATTCTAACTCCCACTGAGTGAGTTCTTCATCCTTTTATAAAGGAGAATAAAAGGAGAGAGGCCGTGACTTCTCCCAGCTGGTAAGTGAGAAGATCACAC